TTTGTTCTAATTCTTTTTATTAGATTTCAGAAGATACTCTGAAAACAGAAGCGGAGATTCTTCGTTTGACTATGGAAATGAATCAACGTCGTGAGCAAGCAGAAAAAGATTTTAAACTACCTAATTGCTGTAAAAGACGTAAAGTCTACATAATTCTGAATGCATAAAAAATTAAAATAAAGTGGAATTCTGATTTTCTAAATTTGTTGGCCCTATAAATTAACTTTATATGAGATATTGAATTTATAACTTCAATAGATAGTGATAGCTTGTTTTGTAAGAAAACCATGAAGAAAAGTTAAATAAAAAAATATTAATAATTTAATTTCAAAGCATTGATTCATCTTCTTGAGCAAAAATTTGGCATTTTTTATCTTCTGTTAATTATAAAGCGCAAGGTTGGTTATGAATTGCTGGTAACTTAAGGAAAAAAACTTCTTTAATGATATTTTCTACATTGCATTATCTTAAATTTATTGAAATGTTAACACTTCTACGTGAAATTTAGAAGATAATTTCTAGCTCATGTAAATCCAAATTATTCCTTTCGTTGGTTGTCAATTTATTCCAGGAAAATATTATTATCCTACCTTTTATTGATAAATAATTTTTATTACTTTATTTCTACACCCGTAACATTTTATCTAGGCAATATATAAGAATACCTTTAAATGTGTTTTCTTTAGCTTGTAACCATTATGTTTACAATGAATAATTATTCTTAAGGTTCTTAAGGTTTGTTGTTTCTAACCATTCCTAAACATTTATTGTTCTTTGACACCGCCCATTCACAGGAATTTTATGAACGGATTGTCTTACATGATTATTCGTAATGCTTTTCATTCATTCGCTGCAATTTTTTAAAAGATTATTTGATAATGCTTTCACTATCATAAATAGAAGCATGAAATTTAAAATCAAGGGATCAAATTTCATAAGTTTAAATATTTTTTTCAGTGTTGATTGTACAAACACTTAAAGCATAACTTATAATCGAAATTAAGTGGTACATGTGAGTTCCAATCACGGTTGATGTTGGTATGTGTACGCATGGTTCACGATGGTGTATGATGATTTCGTGAGTGCTTTAAATCTTTTTTGAAAATGTTTGTCCTTTGGAAACATTATTCAGTTGCTAGAGCCCTGTGAAACAAGAAGGTTCTTAGTGTCATAATTCAAGAAGTGAAGTGAAATTTTAAAGACATATTGAGATGATTTGTTATAAAGATTCATCAAAAAATCAAAAACGTGGAAATAATGTTTAATAATGGAATGGAAATAAGAAAATGGTTAAGAAAACCGTGAATAAAATGTAATATGTATTTATAAAATGTTTTGTGATCTTGTGTGCATAAGAGAAAATTTCTGCAGAAATGTTTACCTGACATGAGTGCAATCATAAACATGTGCTGTGTTCGATCCCTTCTTAGCTCAAAGTTTTACTTGAGACCATTCGGAGGTTTTTGAATGTTTAGACTATGTGGAACTTGATAAAGATGTACATAATCCTTAGGGCAATAAAAACTCTGCTTTGGTTCATTTTGAAGCACATGTTGATCATTTCTTGCGTAATTTGGAAAAAAAAACTTTTTGTGTGTAATGTGAAACTTCATACAAAGTATGTAATTTAGTTGAAACGTTTAGTTGTCTTTAGTTTGTGTGTAATGTGAAACTTCATACAAAGTATGTAATTTAGTTGAAACGTTTAGTTGTCTTTAGTTCTTAAGTTAAGTAACTGATTTTTTTTAAGAAAAATCAAATCGGTTTCAATATTGTAATTAGTGGAATAAATTGAGACGAAAAGCCTTCGTCAATTATATTCAAGTAAGTAAATTAAATTTCTTTTTCAAAATGCAGTGTTTAAGTAAAATTTTGTAATTGATAGAGAAAACTTTCATAAACGTGAATATTTATTTTCTTTTTTATTCATTAATAAACGAATTTCATTAAAAGTTCGAAGTAAACCTTAGTCTAAATAAATTTAAAGCTTTCCGTAATTGCAATTCAAGAATTTAGATTTGAGCAAAGGTGAATGGTTTTCAAAACAGGAATAATTTGATATTAATCTTTTTATTATTTCTGATTGTTATTATTATTTTGTCGTTGCATATTATTGAATTTTCTTCAAAATAATTTATTTTCAATCTTTTGTTTATAATTTTAGAGAATTAATACTGGAATTGATGAAAAGTTCATACTTGTTTGTTACCCTGAAGAGAAACCGATGGCTTATAATTGGTAAGGGAAAAAAGATCATAGCTAGCTCTCAATAAAATAAGGAAGTTTCAGTCATCAAAAATCGCTGTCGAGTATTTAGTTCTCATTCAGTGTATTCATGTTGATAAATGGAATTTCTTATTTATTGGGAGCTTGCTGTAGTTAGCATGTAGAGAAGATCAAATTGAATGATTTTTGTTTATGATGGAAAGACAATAGTTGCAATGGGATCTGGTGCATCGTTTAAGATATATTGGATATATGTACATCTGCTGATTAAAGTTATAGTGGAGGCGTGCCACTACCGGCTGATTGTTAATGACCATCGACACACATCATCGTTGTTAGTATTGTCACGATCATAGAGATAAGCGAATGTGTGTTCATTAATGTTGAACACATGAAACGGTTCTTCTTTTGTATAGACTAGTTGAATCGCTGCAAACGGGGTTTTAGGTTCAACGGTGTATTGTGTATAATGAAACAATGTGTGTTTCCAACTTTAAACTTGAAACTATTTTATTTATTTCGAACTTTTTTTGATTCGTATGGATGAACCCATATATCATACATGCCTGCATATCCATATCTTACTTTCATGGGCCGGTGGAAGTGGTAGTAATCTTCAGCTCTCTTGAACCTTAGCAAATGTTTGTAGTGGCTGTCGGCGGATAATCTTGTCGCTGGGTGGCAATTGGCTTTTGTCATTGATTTGAATACAAATCGATGTTCCCACTTTGGGAGCTTCATTTGAAATGATCCGCTACTTATGTTCTTCTAATCTATCATAATTATGTTCCCTTCGTGAACACGATCGTCGAGTTCGTGGTTGCTGAGCTGATGGATTTCTCACGCAGCATAATCTGATAAGGCCACTGCCTTATCATGCATGATTTTAGTAACTTAATAATTTAATGGCTCTGGAAGTTGTTTACAAACAATTGATAATTTTTATAGCCTAAATTATTCGAGTAACATAAGATTTTATGAGCAATCATGTTTCATAGGGATTTTATTACGATCGTAAACTTGGGATTGGACAATGATTTATAGTTCGATCGTAAAAGGTTGGACGTCTTTTATCTCGGTGGAACTTGGGTAATCGAGGTCTTCTCATATATTGCGTCTGTAGCAATATTTCCTCTACCCGTTACATTCCCCTGAGATTTTACCATAGAACTGGCTTGCTTACCTGTGGGTGAGCCGCTTGCTCGGCTCACTTTTTTTTCCGGCTCACCGGCTCAACTCAGCTCACTTTTTCTTCTCTGCTTGCTTGCTCGGCTCACTAGTGCATCAATAAATAATTCATCAACCCATTCAAATCCATTCACAGGTAAATATTGCGACATGGAATGGCCATATAGATTGTTTGAATCATAATACATCAATGAAAAATCATCATTTCTTGGATCATAATTATTAAGATAGATATTATTAGCCTTTGCTTCATTTACGTTTACTTGCGTAATACCCCCGCGTATTCCCTTCTTAATAAAATCTACCATTTCCCATGAGGTGAATAGTTCGAATTCAACCTCTGTTTTATATAACATCGCCTGCCAAGATAATGATGGTAAAGTGAGAAAATTACAGACTTCTAAATTATAATAATTCAACGACATTTCTCTAAATCGTTCGAAAATGTCAGCTAAAATTAGAATATCAGTCTTTAAATAAAGATCTGAATATTCTCCCACATTTTGACATTTAAATTGAGAATAAACATTTAAAGCATGTTCATAATCTTCCTCGCTTATATTTTCTGACATAAGGGTGCTGTAAAATTTTTCTTTGGGAGGCAATTGTTTTTCTTTTAACTTTTTTTAATCATCTAACCATTCATATGGGAAAATTCCTTTCCGAATCAAAAGATTATGCTGAGATGTATCAGGAAAGTATTTCATAACATAATGAAAGTCTGATTTATTTAAACTTTTTGAAATTTTATCTAAGCTATTTGGAAGAAAGCGAAAAGTATCACTAAATTTCATTAAACCGTATATTTTTTTTCCACTTGGAAGTTCTTCAATTAAAATACTTTGAGAAAAAGATATATATTTTTCTTTGTTTAGCGGTAGTACATGAATTCTTTCATGATATTTGGACATCTCTTCAAGGAGAAAACCGCAATCGTAATTCAAGTTGTGAAAGAAAATATTTATAAACTTATTTTCAATATACAGTGGTCGGAAATTCTATATAACGACGGACATTTTCTGTTGTAAATTTTTTTCTAGTTGTTAAAATCTAATGAAAAAAATATATAATCTACTTTAATTCATTAGCTTTAAGATTTCAAAAAGAAATATTTGGTTTACTTCATTAAAACTTATTAAAAAAATTAATTTATGAAAAAAGGGGTTTAAAATGTCGGAATTCCTATATAACGACGGGCTAGTTTTAATGATTAATAATTTTTTAAACAATTGTTGCATATTTTTTTATGATCGTCTTTACTAACACGATGTTCAATAACATGGGACAAACGATTTGGGATTGAATTAATAAAGTTTTCTGACCGAAATAGTCGAATTTACCTCCAAGCGTTTCTTACGGCCACCTCAAGCTCATTAACCGTGCTATACTGCTTGCCATTATGATATACTGCACGAATGAGTGTTCTGAAGAGGTTTTTAATGATGTTCAGACCAGGAGAGATAGCTGGCTAGTCCAAAAGATCGACATTTTTATCATTAAACCAAGCTTTTGATTGTCGGCTAACGTGAATTGAAGCACTACCTTGCTGAAATGTAAAAATACCGTCCACATACTGGTCTGAGAATGGGATGAAAATGTCTTCGAGCTGTTCAATATAATCTTCTGACTTGCAGCAAGTTCCAATTTTACATATTGGTGGCTTTCTGTTTGCAGAAATATCAGTACAAACCATAAGTGACCCACCACCAAAGTTGCGATTTAGCTTCTGTTGCTTATCTCGAGAAATATCATTCCAATAAAATGTTTTCAAATGAAAAATCCATTAGGGCCAATCAGATTGAACATTTTTCATTTGAAAACATTTTATTGGAGTGATATTTCTCGAGATAGGCAAGTGAAGCTAAATCGCAACTTTGGTGGTGGGTCACTTATGGTTTGTACTGATATTTCTGCAAACGGAAAGCCACCAATATGTAAAATTGGAAC